GCAAGGGTAGTGGGGATGGGGGAAATGGAAATGGTTAATGGGTACAAAAAAGAAAAAAAAAAAAAAAACGCCACAAAATGAAAACACTTAGTATTTGCTACACAACAAGGTAACTACAGTCAAAAACAATTTAATTGTACATTTTAAAGTAACACAATGAGTACAACTGGATTGTTTGTAACACAAAGCATAAATGCTTGAAATGAGGTATACCCCATTTAACCTGATGTGGTTATTATGTATTGCATGCCTGTATCAAAGTATCTCATGTAACACATAAATATATATACCTGACATACCCAAAAAAAATACAAATAAAAATATTTTTTACAAAGTAGTGAGATGTATATGAAAAGTCAAAATAATGAGACGCAGATACTAATATCGGAGTATTGACTTTTGATACCTAAAATTTGGATTTGGTAATGTTTGGAATGTGCTCTAAAATGATTATACAAAAAAGGAGGAAAATTTGCTCCAAAAAGAATGATATAAATAGACCAAAAAGGGTTTCAATCAAACAAAGCTGAAAATGAAATAATAAAGCTGGTTTACAAGCCATAAGTCAAACACTATAGCTGTCAGATAGTTGTGTCTATTTATTTGGGTAATACCGAAATAGGGTAAGGCAGGGACTCAAAGCGATGACATATAATTAGAATCATGAAATATATAAACTGTATCCAAGGACAGACAGTTACGTGTGGAGTTCTTTGTATCATTTCATTTCAGTTGAGGTTGGGCATACAGCCGTAATCTTAGAATCCAAATTAGGGTACAATAAAAAAAATTGTAACTAATCTCTCCTCAAGCATATGCAATTGAAGCTGCAATACACATTTTGGTTTTTATTTTAATGGACGTGAATGGAAAAGTAAGAAAATGGGAGCACAATGAATCAGAGTGAGGTCTGAAGCTAATCTTTAGAAATGGTGAGGACACAGAAAGTCACAGATAAAGATCGAGCCTACGTCACTATGATCTCTGTCTTCCTAATTTGAGCCCAGAGTGACATCTACTCTTTAGAATTGGAAAATAAAAAGAGAGCTGATCTATGATTACTGACTCCAGCCATGCATACACCCTCCACTTTCTTTTTTGCCCAGGCTGAAGCTGAAAAAATTACTACATTTTAACGTGAATTTATTTATTTATGCCTGGGAATGGGTGAAATAATAAGATGTCTTTGATTCTAAAATATTAACTCTATGATATAGTACTCTTATAATATAGTCTCTCTTTTTAAAAAGAATCTTTAAAAAATAGAACCACCATATACAATTTTCATATACCTCATAAAAAATGAACACGAGGTGTTCAACAGCACTTACCATAAAAGAAAACACCAACAGAACAATTACATTTGTTGTATAATCATGTGTCTCAAACTAAATATGCTATAGGAATATTTTACATTCTTGATGAACAACCTTACCTTCACAAGGCAGGTTTCTTTAAAAAAATTCCAGGAAATTAGGAATGACAGTTAGTGAACTACAGGCCACCAATGAAATATCATCTGGCTTCAGCTGCACTATTTGATTTCCATGAGCTCCTTTAGAGCCCTTTATTTACAAGGAGGCTAGAGCTCCTCCGGAGTATAAAACTGAAGATACGAGATTGATTGCTGAAGAAGTCAGTTTTAAGGATACTTTTAAAACGCAATCACTGCAGCCATAAAATTTAAAGAAATCATATTTAAGTGTTTAGTAAAAATTAATATTGCAACACTCACTGCCGCACTAAATCAGAGGGTTAAAGTCAGAGTATCAATACTGTCAGTTACTCTTCTACAATACTTAAACTTCATTCAACTATTTTTCAACAGAAATAGGAATGGAGCTTCATAGAAAAAGTACACTCAAATGGATACGCTGAAAAAACAATTGGAATCCACTGTGAATTCACATCATTTACAGGTAGAAATAAATTATGTAGGTCTAAAAATCATTGTAATGTTATATTCAAGAGTTCCCAGTTCAACTGTAAATTGATAGAGATTTACATAGTTTCAATATTAAAATACAAATGGCAAGATTGTATTTTTTGAGGGGACAAGGAGTTAAAATTAATAGAAAGATGCTTTAAATCTATTCCAAAGAGTGATTAATCGTAGTATTTTCTGTATGAAACATGCTACATGAAAACAGCATAATCAATCAGAACAGCTTTAGAATCAGGGTGAGTGGCCTAGACCTGGCCCTGGGTCTGCCATGCAAAGGACAATGGTACCTTGGACAACAGGACTGCTCAGTGTGTGAGCACAGGAGCCAGGCAGTAACTGTGGATGGAACAGAGAACTCTTAATGCCTTGGTGAGCTGATCACATAATCTCTAATTTCTAAATTTATGATTCAGGGTAAAGGAGAGAACATCACTGGCCAAACTGATTCTGCAATACTTTATGGTGGCTCATGTACTAGGAATAGAACCTATATAATAAATAAGAGCTTGATATATTTACATAGTCAAGATCAGAAGCAGGACTTCCTGGCTGTGTTAAATATGTCTTACATTTATTAACATAATAATCACATGAAAGGAAAATACGGTCATGTGTCACATAAACACATTTTGGTCAAAGATGGACTGCATACATGACAGTAGTCCCATAAGATCGTAAGGCTGTTCTTCTTTTGTAACTTTTCTATGTTTAGGTACACAAATACTTACCACTGTGTAACAATTGCCTACACTACTCAGGACAGTAGTAGCAATAGGCTACATCGTATAGCCTAGGTGTGTAGCGGGCTATACCGTCCACGTTTGTGTCAGTACACTGCATTATGTTCACACAATGACAAAACTGCCCAACGATGCATTACTCAGAATGTATCCCTGTCATTAAGTAATGCATAACTGGACCAAAATGTTTTCTGGGCCCACTGATGCAGTGACTTCTTAAATGGGAGATAAAACTTCTAACATTAAATATACCAGATTATTCAGACCATAGAGTGTCCACATTTTTCTCTTTCTTTCACTCCCCAAAGTGAATGCCAGCAATAAAATCATCCAGAAAGACACCCATCTCAGACTCACTGAGAACTAAACATACACAGTCATGACAAAAATTTTCATCATGTAAGGCGTATTCTTTATATTGTCATTCAGGTTTTTAACTTCAGTTGCAAGGAAGTGTAATTCTCTGTCATTAGAGATCATTGAGGAATAAAGTAAATGCTGCTATTACAGCTGAAATCATCAAGCTGAGCACCTGCTCTGAGATCATGAGTGAGGGATACACTGCTGAGGTCTGATTGTTCTTCACTTTCAAGAATGTTCTGATTCCTTTTGAAAGACAATTTTTAAGAAAAATTAAGGTAAAACTTAATTAAATGGTAACAAAGTTGACATAGATTGTTGGAATGAAAATCAAAGATTCGAAGTAAGCTAAATTTTTATATTATTATTATTATTATTATTATTATTATTATTATTATTTTCTTCTGCCCCAAAAAATCTGCAGGAAAGTAGTAAGGTAAATTTTTAACAAGGTCTTTAGGAAAAACAATTTAGGTCAAGTCAATTCTTTGTCTCTAAATGAGGGATCATTTGTTATTAAATGTTCTGTCTAAAATTCACAGCAATGCCTAGTACAGACCAGAAACTCTAGAATGTGCTAAGGTATAAATGTAAGGATGAGTAAGTGGGGAAAGACCTTATGCTAGTTGAAAAGTTGGATATGACATCAGGCCCAGTGGCTGATGCCTATAACCCCAGCACTTCAGGAGGCCAAAGTGAGAGGCTCACTTGAGCCCAGGAGTTTGAGAACAGCCTTGGCAACATAGTGAGACCTTGTCTCTACAAAAGAATTAAAAAATTAGCCAGGCATGGTGGCGCATGCCTGTAGTCCCAGCTACCCAGGAGGCTGAGGTGGGAAGATCACTTGAGACCAGGAGTTCAAGATTGCGGTGAGCCATAATTGCACCACTGCACTCCAGTCTGGATGACAGAGTGAGACCCTGTCTCAAAAAAAGAAAAATAAATGTTGGATATGAACATGATTTCTTCAGGGGTCACTGAGGATCCTCTACCTTGTTACTTGAAATACTTTTCAAGTATTGCAAAATAGGGACGGACAAGACAATGAAGCAAAATTCTGAAGCCTTGAAAACGTAAATGTGGACACGATAAACTGACAGTCCCTGCAGGTTCCTAAGTACAGGACTGACACCAGAAATTTACCTAATAGTTGGGCACGGTGGCTCACGGCTGCAATCCTAGCATTTTGGGAGGCCGAGGCAAGTGGATCACCTGAGGTCAGAAGTTCAAGACCAGCCTGACCAACAAGGTGAAACCCTGTCTCTATTAAAAATACAAAAATTAGCGAGGCATGGTGGCAGGTGCCTGTAGTCCCAGATACTCAGGAGGCTGAGGCAGGAGAATTGCTTAACCTGGGAGGCAGAGGTTGCAATGAGCTGATATCATGCCACTGTACTCCAACCTGGGCAATGCAGCGAGACTCCATCTCAAAAAAAAAAAAAAAGGACCAGGAGTGGTAGCTCCCTCCTGTAATCCCAGCATTTTGGGAGGCCGAGGCCAGCAGATCACGAGGTCAGGAGATCAAAAACATCCTGGTTAACACATTGAAACCCTGTCTCTACTAAAACTACAAAAAATTAGCCAGGTGTGGTGGCGGGTGCCTGTAGTCTCAGCTACTTGGGAGGCTGAGGCAGGAGAATGGTGTGAACCTGGAAGGCGGAACTTGCAGTGAGTCAACATCTCACCACTGTGCTCCAGCCTGGGTGACAAGAGTGAGACTAAGTCTCAGAAAAAAAAAAAAAAAAAAAAACAGAAAAGAAATTTACCTAATATTTCTACAATGGATATAGAACCACCAGGTAAGATGCTTTTGAGAGGGAAGACTAGAAACACAAGGAAGTGTGGAATTGCATCTATAAGCACCTCAACAATCTTATCTTTTCATTAGACTCAAATGTGACCACCATGGGTGGGGTGGGAAGAAAGATTAAGCAATACTAAAATAAGCCACTTACTGCTGTCCACGCATTTCTTTTGCACCGGGCACACAGCCATCCATCACAGATCTCATGAGAAGGAACACCATAACAACCTATAAAATAATAGTATGTATCCATGCATTAGGTCTTTTTCACCTTTAAAATATTGCAGATCTCAGTACTGAAATAAATAAAAATGGAACACTAGCCTACCATACTGTCTTGATTCTCACTGTATAGAACAAAACATAAGCAAGGTGAATGTGAGTCTTATTGATAACTAACACAATAGTTATAGAGAATACTTATGGAACATCTTGAATGGGTAATAAAATTTTAAAATGTCAAGTCTACTAATTTGTTCACGCACAGACATCTCAAAATAAGTTGCAATCCACGGGGCAAACCTTAAGGAAATGTTAAAAATAATACAATAAATATACTGTGACCTAATATTATTAAATTAATTTAAATTTTGAAGTAATTTAAAATTACTTCAAAAATTAAGTCTAACTACCTTCAGCCTCAATGACAAAGCAAATGCTGCAAATTCAGAGTTAGCAAATGAAGGAATATTTTCAATTCAATTGGTCTATTCAGCTCATGCCTGACCCAAAGTAACTATCTAAGGTGATGGCTGATTATGCAAATATACATAGCAATTACATGGCATCAAGGAACACATGTCACTCTGACTTCTTGAGAGAAGAGAATTTTGAAATATTTAAATGAGTAATTTTTAATATTTCTGATATTAAAACCCCCTCCTTATAGGAGGGTTAAGATTTAATGAGTAATTTTTGAAAATTTCTATAACATTTGAGATGGAAACAAAATAACAGAAATGTAATTTCCCGAGAAAAAAATCTATCACAGTTAACCATGTCCATGAAATAATGAGTTAAAGCATATGTGTACAAAATAGTATGGTTACACTGCATAGCTGCTACATTCAGGAATCAGATTATATCCCAATTATTTTGTGTCCTGGTGCTTTACCTATTGTATACACGTAACAATGTAAGGTGTGTATATGCATGTGTGTGTGTTCCAAATTGCCTTCAATACAAAAACAAGATGGCTATTATTATATTTCAAGCACATACTATTTAAATCCTTTAAGTAGATAGTATCTAATCAATCAATAAATGATAAATGATGAAGTTGTTTCAACCCTAATATAAAGCAATTATTACTCTGAGGTAAATACAGAAGATAATATCTATATTATAAACCATTCAAACTACATTGACAGAGAACAGGCCATACCTAAGTGAGTTACTAGAATATGTGATTTGGTAAGATCTGGAATATTAAAATGCCTTAAAATACAGTCGTAGTATATGAGATCCCTTTTATTGAGATAGATGTGGAGACTATCTCAGTCCAGGGGTAAAACAACTATAATGACTGTTCTCCCCTGGAAAGCAATAGAGATTTCCACCCTTACGAATGAAAAAAAGTTAACTCAATACAACAATTCTGAGAATAACCAAAGGAACATCCATTTCTCTTTTTAAAGTCACAAAGAAAAACAGTCTTCAACAATATCAGACTTTCAAATTAAGTTTTTATAAACTAGATCTTAAAGTAAGTAAAATTCAAGCATGTGAAAGGAACCCCATGATGACTCCTCACCTGGACCCCAAACAAACAAACCAACAAAAAAAAAAACCCAGACCTGCTCTCCACTGATACTACATGAAAGTGGTGAAAAAAAGATGAATATACTAACTCATACTTTTACTAGAAGAAATGTGAAAAAGAATGATATAACCATGAAGAATGCCAAGAGTCCGTGCAACAGATCTGACAGGTTCCAAAAAAGTGAGAAATGATGTGAAATGCTGAAAAGCCAGTGATTGATGAATTATAGATCCATTTACTTGCATGAACCCGTACGCAGCACTTTGCACAGGAAATCAGAAGACTTGTTCCATCCTCTTCAAGGAAGGCATTGGGTGGAGAATATTCTATATTTTCTTCACTATAAATAAAACACATCTCTGGTATAAGGGGCTTAGTCTTTCCTTCCAACGTAATGACTTCATCTAATTTTGTCTCCCATCTAGCATCATTTTCTTCATTGCTGCTATCTGGCTGAAAAACACAACATTTCCACATGAGTGAAAAACATGGAAAAGAGCGCATCATTCTAGTCACTCAAATCCACTAACTCCTGTTGCAGACACTAACTTCTAACTTTTGTTCTTCCTGTTGTTCTCCTTGATCAAACTACTAGTTTTTTGGGTTTTTTTTTTTTAAATCAACATTCCACCTCAGACTCCCACCCAAAAGCTAATCTGCACGAACAGGACAATATTCAATTATGTCTGTTCATATAAGAAAGTGACTGGCTACTCAAATTGTGTCTTCTCGAAATTAGTTCATGGAAAGCATCAATTCTTTTGCTTCTTCATATGCACTAGAGTTAACAGATCTGTTTTCATTTACTGAAGAATCATATTTTGCTACACTTGAAGGAGTGTACAAAGACCCAGTTTTAATCTGTGCAGCAGTATTAGGAGAGGCTTTAAGAATTTTTGCCTCATCACAGTATTTGAAAGCAAGAGAGAGAGAACTGGCACATGTCACTAAATAAGAAAGAATAATGTATCAAACAAAACTATCACCTCACACCAAAAGATAGAAAAAACATTTAGTATTTACTTGAAAGTATAAGTAATGAATTACCTCACAGATTTTATATTATTTTATGTTTTATACTGTATTATTTTATATTAAATCTCCACAAATCTTATGATTTTAGTTTGAATTTTTTCATTATTGAGACATATACAGATTATAATGTAGAAATAAGAATCAATAAGTAGTTAAAACCCAGAAATTTCATGACTAAAGGAAGAGAAAAATAATGTTTATCACTCACCAGTGCCACATTAAAAAACATGAAGGGAATAAATTATTTCCTCTGTTACAAAGGTCTGAAAATGTGAGATACCACACATTTTCTTGCTCTGAAATGTCTGAACAGAACAGTTTATTTTTATAAGGAACTCTAAGACAGACATAATCTTGAATAAAATATTTGTTTCTATAAATAAAAATATAACCCAAAACATAATGTTCATGTCAATATACTTCATAATATATTGTACCTTAAAATGAACCACATAGTTCCACCCTTACAAGATTCCTAAAGATCATTTCAACTGTTTGAGTGCTGAGGACTGTGACCCTCCATTAGCTGAGGTGCTATCAGTATAATATCTATGGAATGATGCTGAAAACAACATCAAGCACAGCCAGCTGATGAGGATGAACTGGAAAATTTAGTTTGTAGTGAGTCTTGGCTGTGTCTTTTGCATGTTCCACATGGGAAGGTGAAGAGACACTTAAAATTTGGACCTAGGGCTGACATTTCTATTATTTGAGAATGACATTTTCAAACAACAACCAAAACAAACAGAGATAAACTTAAACTTAAAGTTCTATCTTTGAAAGCTTCTACTATTTGTAAGCTTTAAGTTGTGTCTCTTGGTAAAAGAGGTAAAAAAGTTGAAAGTAACCCCCCTCCATGAAATAAAATAAGATACTCAGAAAAGATTTGGGAGACCAAAGTAGAAGGATCGCTTGAGGCCAGGAGCTCAAGACTAGCCTAGGCAAAATAGTAAGACCAAGTCGCCAGAAAAATTAAAAAATAAATTTAAAACATTAGGCAGGTATGGTGGCTCACACCTATAGTCCTAGCTACTGTGGAAGCTGAGGCAGAAGGATCGCTTGAGCCAGAGTACAAGCCGACGTGGAGTCATGATTATGCCACTGCACTTCAGCCTGGGCAACAGAGCACGACCCTATCTCAAAAGAAAAAGATAAAGTATTGCAACAGAGCACGACCCTATCTCAAAAGAAAAAGATAAAGTATTTTCAGAAAAGTGTCTCCCAAGGAGAATGTAGAAAGTGTTTGTGGTTCTATGAAAGCCATCAGCTACCTAAGGATGTCTTCCTTCTTATGTGCAAAGGAAGCCCACAACAATTTACAGTGATCTTGTGGTATGTGGTCACATGGAAAGCAGAGCAATGAAGGCAACTGTGACAGCAGCCCCCCTTTACCTTATGGTATGGCATGAGCAGAGTGCAGATGGCACAGTGTGGCTTCATCCTGGCCACTGTTGCATTATACTCTTGTTCAGCTGCGAAGTTAGGGGACTTCGTCTGCCAAAGGTGGATGAGAGGTTTCGCCCAAGACTCTGTTTCTTCCACTTCCTCCTCAATGGACAGAACCTCAGGCAATTCTTAAGGGAGAAGGCAGGAAAACATCATGAGCATGGGAACCAGGGAAAATAATCACCCTGAGTACAAAAGAAGCAAACATTCCACAGAATCTGTGATATTAAGGCCAGAAACCAAACCTATTTTGTCTTTCAAATACATCCTGAGAGAGCCAGAATAAGGGAAGTTGCCTTATAATCCTCCTCAAGCCTCAAAGCCTAGATCAGATCTCATGGCCAGACAACCACCCTCGTTTTGTGACCCTCCCCATCCCTACCAGAAATAATTACACTGTTCCCTCCTTCCCACATTACTCCTTCCGTGTCTCTACTGCTACGGTAAAAGCTCCAATACTAAAATAGGTTTGTGTGTATGAGATTATCTTCTAGTTATCAGAGTAATTCACAATCCAGAAACTACTCTGCCAATTTTTACTTTCTTCATCTAACATAGTACACGGCTCAATAAAAGTTTAATTTAACTTCACTGAATTAACTCCTGGGTTCAAGAATTTATTACAATTAACATTTTTACAGAGCAGCTATAAAGTGCCAAGCAATATACTGGCATTACACGGATATAAAAGAAAATCCCTAGTCAGATCTTCTCATTTGTTCCATAAAATACCCCTAGAGGGTCAAGTCCTTTAAATGTATATTTCTTTTTTCTTTTTCTTTCTTTCTTTCTTTCTTTTTTTTTTTTAAGATGGAGTTTTGCTCTTCATGCCTAGGCTGGAGTACAATGGTGCAATCTCAGCTCACTGCAACCACTGCCTCCGGGGTTCAAGCCACTCTATTGCTTCAGCCTTCCGAGTAGTTAGGATTACAGGTGCCCACCACCACGCCTGGCTAATTGTTTTTGTATTTTTAGTAGAGATGGAGTTTCACCACGTTGGCCAGGCTGATCTAGAACTCCTGACCTCAGGTGATCCACCCACCTCAGCCTGCCAAAGTGCTGGGATTACAGGCATGAGCCACCGAGCCTGGCCTAAAATGTATATTTCTTTACTCCACAAGAACAGCACTTTATAAAATCTTACAGAGCACCAGAAAAATACAGAAAGACACAACATGTTAGCAAAAAACTCTTCATGCCTATAGCAGAGGGCAGTACATCAGAGCAAGTGGCCAGAATAAAAGCTGCACCCAGTGTCTAGGGCTGTGACACATTCTAAACATCTGCATGAGTAGCTTTCATAGTCCGATAAATGAATACTGTAGAGCAATGTGCTTAACTACAAAGCACTGGTGAGTGTGTTCCAGCCCTTGCCATGTTGACTTACCTGTTTCAGAAAAAGTCAAATTAGATTTGCACTGATGGCAAAATGGGAAGGACTGAATGAGGCTGAAAATAACTCAAAATATGTCAAATGACAACTGTAGCACAAAGGGTGGCATTATTATAATAATCATGTTATCATGGTGGTTGTTCTTATTATTTTTACAATGGAAAACTCTTGATATTCACCCATGGGTAGAGTATTTGAAAACAAAACAAAAGATAAGAATCTTTGCCTATATTTGCAATAAAGTAATCTGACTCTAAATGTAAACTGTTTCTTGCAGCACTTGGCCTCACCATAATAGTAAAGGAGATGGCTAAAAAATTATTATAGCACAGGATATACTACGGCTAATTTTATGCATTTATGATTTAATACTGCACCTTTATATTTGGTTACATCCGTGTTTGGGTGCATATGTTGTGACAAATTTTAACTTTTTATAATAGATTTATGTTTATAGTAGTAAACAATAAAACAGTCTTGTATCGGCATATATTTTATGCATTCAAGACCTATCTTTTTCTTTATTTTTTAAATATTTCTAGGCTATATGATTCATTTGTGAGTTTTTTCAAATTGTTCCAAGTCTATGAGAAATGTTCTAATGTACTTATTGAAAAAACATTGCATGTAAGTAGACCCAAACAATTCAAACCAGTGATGTTCAAGGAGTCAACTGGAATTGAAAGATAACCGCCGTTCTCAAAACACGATCTGTGAACTCCAGGGGATGCACAATCCTGTTGCATGGCATCTGTATAGTCAAAACTACTTTCATAATAACGCACGTTATTTGACTACGTTACCCAGTTGAGATTTGTAACAGTGATACAAAAGCAGTAGAGAGTAAAATTGTTGGTGCCTCAGCATGAATCAAGAGGTACCAAAGGAATCATCATATTGACTACCTCATACTTACAGAGGTAACAAAAAGGCAGTTTCTCTTAGTAATGCCTTTGATGGGGGGGAAGCATCAATCTTATTAAATCTGTGGAAAAAAAGGAATGTATGCATAAAGTATTTCTGTGCACACTGAAGTTCAGAGCAGTCTTTAGAAAAGCCCTTGTGCAACTAATGGAACTGCGGATTGAACTGCCTGCCATTTTCATGGAATGCCACTTCTTCCATGAAAAAAATTATTAGCAGACAAACTACGGTCATTCAGATTTGGGTGGCTGGCAGGAATTTTCTTGAAAATAAACAAAAAAAAACCTGTCAATTTTTTAAAAAACAACTAGAGTATTTGTCAACAATGACAAAAATCAAGCTTATAAGTCACAATTAAAATTTCTGGAAAATTTGTATCCGTTCCTGTAAAACAGATTCCAAATGCTTAAATCTGTCTCTGGTGGAAGTGATAATAAGAATGAATGTAATTTTTTATATCATATAAAGAGATGCGTCAACATCTAAAAGATCTGGATAACTCACATCTTTGTTTGCTAACGCATAGTAACAAAAATCATGCATGGATTAAAAAGCCACTTAAAATGCAAGACACACCAATGAACTTTCAGCTTAACAGAGTACAAAAAATTCACTGATATGATTTTAGGTTCCACACTGAAACTAAACTACTGTTTGTCAGGTTTTGATAAAGAGTCAAAGAAGAACGTCCCCTTAACTATCTAGAAAGGTTATTAAAATACTGCTTGCTCCCTTTCCAACCACATTATCTGGGGGAAGCGGAAATTTTCATCATATTCTTCAACCAAAACAACATAGTGCAAGAGATTGAATGCAGAAGCAAATAAAAGAATGCAGCTGTTTTTTATTAAATCCAATACTAAAGACATCTGAAAAAAAATACAACAGCTCCCAATCCTGCAGCCCCTGGTAACTAGCATCCTACTCTCTGCTTTTAGAAGTTTGATGTTTTTAGATTCCATATATAAGTGAGATCATGTGGTATCTGTCTTTCTGTTCCTGGTTCAATTCACTTAACATAATGTCCACCAGTTTCATTCATGGAGCAGCAAATGTCAAGATTTCCTCCTTTTATAAGGTTGAACAGTATTGGACTGTGTATACATACAATATTTTCCTTATCCATTCCTTGATTGATGGATATTTCAGATTTATTTCATATTGTACTTATTGTGAATAATGCTGACTGCACATGTAAGTGCAGATATCTCTTTGACATACGGATTTCATTTCTCTTACATCCTTTGGACATACCCAGATGGGGATTTCTGGATCAAAAGGTAAACCTATTTTTAATTTTGTTCAGGAATCTTCGTACTGTTACCCATAATGGCTGTACTAATTTACATTCCCACCAACATTGTACAAAGGTTCCCATTTCTCTATATCCTAACCAACACTTGTTGTCTTTTTGATAATAGCCATTCTAACAGGTATAAGAAGTGAGGATTTCACTTGCACTTTCCTAATGAGCTGTGATGTGGGGTGTTTTTCATATAACTGCTGGCCATCCATATGTCTTCTGCTGAGAAACATCTATTCAGGTCCTTTGCCCCGTTTTAATCCAGTTAATTGTTTTCTCGCTATTTAGCTGTTTAAGTTCCTTATATATTGGGATTATATATAAGGATATTATATATCCTTATATAATGTCAATATTGGGATATTGACAACTTATCAGAGATATGGTTTGCAAAATAATTTCCCACATTCTGTAGGTTGTCTCTTTACTCTGTTCTTTCTTCCTTTTCTTTGCAGAAGCCTGTTTGATAAAATCCCATGTATATATTTTTGCTTTTGTTGCCTGTGCTTTTGGAGTACAATTGCAACAAAAGCAAAAATTGACAAACGGGATATAATTAAACTAAAAAGCATCTGCACAGCAAAGGAAACTATCAAGAGGGTGAAAAGACAAACTACAGAATGGGAGAAGATTTTTGCAAACTATGCATTTGACAAAGGTCTAATATTCAGCATATAAAGGGAACTTAATCAAATTTACAGGAAGAAAAACAATCCCATTAAAAACTAGACAAATTACATGAATAGACACTTTCCAAAAGAAGACATACGGCCAACAAGCATACGAAAAAAAGCTCAACATCATGATCATTAGAGAAATGCAAATCAAAACTACAATGAGATACCATCTCACACCAGTCAGAACAGTTGTTATTAAGAAGTCAAAAAATAACAGATGAGAGCAAGATTGCGGAGAAACAGAAACACTTATACACTGTTGGTGGGAGTATAAATTAGTTCAACCATTATGGAAGACAGTGTAGTGATTCCTCAGAGTTAAAAACAGAAATCCCATTCAACTCAGCAATCCCATTACTGGGTATACACCCAAAGCAATAAAAACCACATAAAGTGCATTATAAAGACCCATACACACATACGTTCATAGCAGCACTATTCACAAGAGCAAAGACACGAAATCCACCTAAATACCCAGCAGTGATAGACTGGATAAAGAAAATGTGGTACCTATATACCATGGAATATTACGCAGCCATAAAAAAGGAGATCATTTCCTTTGTGGGAACATGATGGAGCTGGAGGCCATTACCCTTAGCAAACTAACAGAAACAAAAAACCAAATACTGCATGTTCTCACTTATAAGTGAAAGCTAAATGATGAGAACACATGGGCACACAAGCAGAACAACACACACAGGGACCTTTCAGAGGGTGAAAGGTTGGAGAAGGGAGAAAATCAGGAAAAATAATGGATAATGGATATTAGGTTTAATACCAAGGTGATGAAACAATCTGTACCAAAAAACTCCATGACACAAGTTTACCTAT